TAAACCAGTAACTATTCAATGTGTTAATTCTTGTGCATTTCGCCCACGATGGATTATTCTCTGAAGATTAATTTTAATCCAGGAACCGAGGTTTTCGCGTTTTAATTGGATATGAGAGATTAAAAGTTCGTTACTTTGATACGGCGCTGTGTGGTTAATTGTGTCGCCGTGAAGGGTTGTAAACGTACAACTGTTTGAACAAATGAATAATCGATCTGCGTGTGGTTATATCAGGTACTTTTGATAATGTTACCACATATGATGCATGCAATACATTGCAGCAGAACGAATGCACGTGCATCTTATGAAAGACTAAAAAATGTAAACGAAAATTTTGTAAAGGTTTTGTAAACTTGTGCGCGGAAAGTGTTCTCTCCTTTAGGCTCCTGTGCCTTAAAGTAAAGCAAGACTAAGATAAGACTGTGGTAAATCCGAAAATAGAATGCGATACTTCCCATAAGATAAGGCTTTGGTGTTGTTTGGGATCGTGCAATCAAAAACTCTCCTTGCMATTTTGGGGTAATGCAGRGTGGCAGTGGAAGTCAGCCCCTCTAATTGCGTAAGACAGAAGAGAAAGGTCAAATATCGTCCTAGAATAATTTACACGTATGTAGCTATCGCCTCTAGGGGAGTGAGAAAGCGAAAGGCTCTTGTTTTGCCCCTTCCCMACCCACCCTCCTCCCCTTGAGCCGCAACGCAGACTAAACTAAAAACTGATTGCTTTTTAACATGTCTACGGAAATGTGACACTTCAGATCTCGGGCATACCAGCTCGTAGTTCGTCCTCAGGAGTGATGCTATTTATCTCGAATTAACGCAGTTGTAGTGAGACTAAGGCATTAGAATGTTCTAGTAAAACGATGTTASTGCAATACTGCATATGGGATAAACATGGCGAGGATATCTCGAATAAGTACGCACCATGCCGTCACACGGAACGTGTCTTAGCTAGAGTTTAGAAGGCTAAAAGTGTTGTTTAATCGACAGATGCCTTTCACCAAAACGTTTATTTGTTATTCATTCAAGGGCGGGGGAAACTTAGAAACTGTATCTTTTTCTTGCCCTTACTTAAGTGTTTTATCAATTATTATGTGAACAGTAGATAGTTGGATAAACTTCTTTTGCTAAGTCGTCGTACAATGTGATCTTTGATTTGACTTGATAAATGAAGTTATGGAGTAAAGAGTGAATGGAGGAAAAAATGAAAAAAAAAACGATTGTTGTAAAAATCGATTAATGATTAAGCGAAAAAACCTCGCTTTATTTATATGAAGCAATTAGCTTTTTATTGAAAGCACGTGTAGTTACTAAGTGAATGAAAAACGCAGACTTCTTCCTTGTCAGTATCCGTATCCCGCATCAGTTCCCCTCTACGATTAAAACCTCACCTTTCCTTCTTGGTAACTGACAGTCATCACCAAATAAGCAGTTTTAAAAGGACATGGATCAAGATCGAGCCACTTACAATAAACACTGGTATAAGATAACGTCCCAGGTCACTCCACTCTACACGTCATTCAATGTTGGCCACAGTCCAGCAACCTTCGCTCGTACGGAAAATTCCCAAAATTTGTTGAGCTCAGTAGCCAAGTTCGGCCGAGATCGATAGAGTTTGAAAAGGCCTCGTGATCAAACGCCATGAAACTTTTTGGTTGGATTTGCTTGCTGTTTGTCGTTTGTTTTGCGTTTGCGGAGGTCGGGGGGACCTYGAGCAGTACACAGCAAGGTACGTTGCAACCCCCTTGGACTACTTCATTCGTAAAGTAGTTGTTTTTTTTCCAGGGAAGGACTGAAGAGTGTCGTTTTGATGATATACGTGCTTCCTTGGTCGTAGTTTTTATTTTTTTGGACGTGTTTACGAGTTAATGTGCGTAGTTGTAATATAGGACGTGCTACGATGTACGTTGTTGCTATATTTGTACATGTGACGTAATTGATATATTAGCCATTTATCAAATCAGCACCAGATTTAAGCAGATTTCGTGCTACGTGTAGTAGTCGAATCCGTTTCACAGAACCGCGAAGTAATTTATAATTTGTGGATAGTACAGTTTACACGCATTTTGTTTTAAGCGAACTCGTCAAATGAGTTTTTCTATTTTGGAACTTTTGCTTATTTTTTTGTCACGTGATACACACCCTTGTTTGTCCTTTKGCGTTTCAAGGACTCTCCAAAACTCTTGAATATATTTCACGGGCGTAGCAAACACTCAAAATATCGATAGACAGCCCGAATTAGCAAGCCATTAGTGCATAAACATTGATCAAAACATTTCCCGGAAACATTTGAACGTTTGATCGATCGGCAAAAAATGACTTGTTTTGAGTAGAAACACTTCCGTTCATCGTTGTTTTTACAGTTCAAAACAAAGTGAAACTGGTCGACATTTCAAGAAAGGAAAACCAAGTCGCAACACATCGACTCAACAAGAACCGTCGAAAGCCGACTCGTCGTGAGCGCTGCTGTCATCTTGGACGTCGAATGGCGAAGATCGGCGAAAAGTGTCAGTATTCCAACACAGTAGCTTCCCTTCGACCGAACTACGAACATTATCACAAACTGAAGACTAAAATCTGGGTCGTCAGTGCAGACAAGCCCATCATCAAGGCCCGCCTTCTCCGAAAGTGCAAGCGCTATAAGGCGTTTTATGAGAAATGCTGCAAATACGAGTCCAGATTGATCGATCAAGACCTCAAGCGCATGATCAAAAGATTGAGGAAATTTCTGAGGAAGATTAAAACAGGCAGAAAACGATCGAAAATCGGCAAAACTGCGTCTCTTTCTAAAAGCAGCGGTAAATCATAAAAAAGCATGACATGACAAAGTGACAAACTGATCGCTAGCAATTTATATTGACCAGTAACAGATTTATATCGAGTTTGATGATTGCAAACGCTTCAGCTAGTGTATTTTTGTTGAAGCCAACATCGATTATCAGGATAATATAATCAGTAAGTTTATATATTTCATCATCATATTATGACGA